GATAGATAGATAGATAGATAGATAGATAGATAGATAGATAGATAGATAGATAGATAGATAGATAGATAGATAGATGTAATCAGTCACATGAACTCACATGTTCTCGGCCGGTCCCCCCCTCTCTGGGGACGGCTCCCCGGGCGGGGGGGCGCCGTTCCCCTGACGCAGAGCCTCCCGGGCCCTCCGGCGCCGCTCCCGCTCTATTTCCTCCGCGTCCTCCACGCTCCTCTGGGCCGTCAGCCTGAAGACGGGGAAGGGGAGCACAAAACTTACCGGAAATGGAACCAAAAGACATGATGCAAACATCACAGCTAGCAGAGCGTTTATTTATTTATTTATTATTTGTTTATTTATTTACCTATTTATTTATTGATTGATTGATTGTTTAATTTTTTTATCTATTTATTTATCTATATTTTATTTATTTATTTATTTATTTATTTATTTATTTATTTATTTATCTATTCAGGAAAGTGCACATTAATGAACAATCTTATATCTCTGTACAGACTGTAAATTAGCCCGATTCTGGCATAGTTGATAATTCGCATCTGTCATCCTGGAGCCAAGAAGACAAAACAACACAAGATCACAAAATACAATATCAGTCAAAACACATACACACACAGACGTTCAGACGATGACATCACAACAATAAAATTAGTGAGTGCATGACTGGGAACTTTTAAGAAACTGTTCAAGGTGCTTTTTAAATGTGCAAAAAGTGTGACATTCCCTAATTAAATATATGTGCCTGTTGCTGTATTATGCTGATGTTTTTTAAAATTATTATTATTTCTTTATTTAATTTTTGTCGAGCTGAGACAGGGTGGGAATAGGGTGTTTTGTTTTTCGTATATGTAGTAGATGTGACTATTTAAACATCTTTACTTGTGTGTATATATTAGAAGTTATACCTGCATAAGTATACTTTTACCCCCCCCCAAAAAAAGTGAACTGTATTCCTTATTGTGATTATCTTATCATTTGCTTCAATAAAAATAATTTTGAAAAAAGATAATAATAATTCCAGTGAGTAAGTCAGTTATCAGAATTAACCACACAGGCTCACAGAATTATTTATGATATAACTGTTCCTGTGTGAGTCATGAGTGTTTGAATACTGGCTTTGGTTGTTTAGGTGTTGAAATCTGTTGGACTTTGATGCGGCAGATAGTGTGAGCGAAGCTTTCCTCACCGTACCCTGTCATTACGTTTCCTCTCTGAGGGATTCTGTCATCTTGGCAGTGGCTCAAATACCTAAAAAAATACCGGGCTAAACTATAAATCTCCTCCACAGCTTCGTTCTCCCACTCATCCGAAGTTATGGTCACAAGAGAAGTGGAAGGGGAGAAAAATCTCCCACTAATCCCAAATCCTGCTGAAGCTTAGTCCCAGAAACAAACAAGAGCCACATAAAAAAGTTCCCCTTTGGCAGCCTCTACAGGAATCAGGATGTGTTTTACTGGTTTTCTATTCTTTAATAGTACACCGACACCAAAGTCAAGACCCAACTTGTTGGATTTTTTCATCACGTAACGACTGAAAAAGACGAGCCTGGGAAGCCAGTGGCGTTCACATGAGCTGACAAACTAGCTCATAAAACTGTCCCAAAATCAAGTTATTTCAGTTTTAAAGGGAAGGAAAAGGTGAATTGTGGAGTTCCAAGAGGGTATGGTGGAGTACACACTCCACTATTGTCCATGGGACTATAATTTGGTTCTCTGGGCCTTGTTCTTTTCATTTGGATTTCAAATTAACTTGATTCTTATCAATTTCTTTCTTTCATCAATTTCTTTCTTTTATCAATTTCCTCATCAATTTATTTTACCATCCTTTTCCTGAAGACTAACGAACACACATCTGAAGATTCCTTAAAATTGAAAAGCGAGAGTCGCCCAACGTTTATAATTTCTTTCTTCAAAGATTTGTACTGTACTTCAACTGTACTATGCACAGTTGAATAGAGGCACAGTTTAAAGACAGAATTTATTTTATAGGAATAATGATTAGTCATTTCGAGATGGCAATGGAACTAAAATCCCAAATGGCATCAAAACGTATTGGACTTTTTAATACAGGTTTTGGGGACGATAGCAGCTTTTGTTCAACGTCGGCTATAAAAGTAAATGTGAGCTCAAAGGATAGATACAAGCAGAAAAAACAACCACCCACAAACCAGGAAGTGGCCACACCAGAGTCCCAAAGCCCTCTTCTGTTGGTTGACACATTGTTTGATGGGAACGAGGCAGGAAGAAGGACTCATTATCAAAAGGAAAAAGGTTTAAAAGTATTAAAGACTTGTGTGTGCCTTGCTGTCATCAACACAATAACAACCGGGTTTGCTTTCAGCCCGAGGCGGACGGAGACGGTGGGAGAAATCCGTGAGATGAAGTCACCGCTGTGCAAAAAAGCAAGTCCGGACAGGGGGATGGCTCTGAATCACGCTGACACCACAACAAAGGCTGCCACTTCCCAGAAAGAAAGAAATTATGTCATCTGGTGAGGCTCCAAAGGGGAAACAACACCTGACGAACCCCCCACGAGAAAACTTTCGTCTCTCAGCTCAACCGAGCAACATCCCACAATTGACCAATTTACCAATTTACAAAGCTGAATTCAGTCGTTGAAAAACAGTTCTTTGATTTCCCTTTCCAGGAAAGATGATATCTAACGCTTGTTTTCTCCCGCTGAGCTCGATTTCTAACATTTCTCACTTGCATTCAAAAGTAGAGGGGGATTTGAACCAAGTACCTCCCGTAAGATCATTCATCCACAATCGCTTACTCCCAGAAGGGTTGTGTGTATGTGTGTGTGTGTGTGT